AACTATTAAAATGAGCATCTTTTGTGTAAAATATGACAATAAACACAATTAATATTAATTTGAAAAAAGAGAGAAAACAAAAATGAAATGCCATTGATTTGTATAAGAAAAACTAGTATTACTATTTGTAACTAGAACTAATAGTAGACAATAAAATTCATGTTAAGAAAACAATAATTAAGAAAGTAAAATATCTCATCAATAATATTTATTTATTTCAAATATGAGTTTTATTACAAGAAAATTAACTTTTAACAACCAATTATTAATGTCAAGAGCTTAAAAACATCAAGCCACCAATAATATGTCTAGCAGTCAACAATAAATCAATGGTTTCTAAATAACCCCAAAAAACATGGCAGATGACTTTAGAGACCAACTTCCAAACATCAATAGCAAAAACATATAGTTGGCCAACATCATTTTCAACTCTATCACCCTGTACATGAATAAAAGAACAATATTGTCAAATTTATAATTTTAGATGAACTGACATAAAAGGAATAACATAAGGACAAAAATCACAGAGCATGAGAGAAATTGTCTTATTGAATAACTTCATCAATGTAAAATAGTGAATATCATTAACAATTATTTAAGGAAAAATAGAGTAATAGAAAGTTGCAGCAAGATACATCTACTCTGCAGCAAATTTCAAGTTGGCATTCTATCAAAAAAATAGTTTGACAATTGAAAGCCTGTACTATTTTCAAGTTTGTTAGGACAACAATTACAAGAGTTCAGATAAAATGGAAAGGAAAATTCACGAATGGGGGATGAGAAGGAAATATTTTTTTAGCCTAAAAACTTAATCTACACTGCACATCCCAAGTTGAGCCTTTAAACTTATGAGTTCTTTCAAGTTCCATTCTAATCTAAATAATTTATACATATTTGTTAATTTTTTTAATATAAATACAAGGTTTGGACTAACGCTACACTAGTAACTTAAACTTGAGCATGAATAGTACTTTCCTTGTGAATGCTAGAGCGTTAATGAAATAGCAGACTTTATGACACTTAGGCTGTTGGAGTATTAGTAAAATAGTAGACATTCTAACACCTCGGCTCATGTTAGTAACTCTATATATCTCTTATTCTTATTTTGTAGTTCGTGGTTGTTTACATCACTACTTTATTCAAATTAGGCAAAACGGTCCTGATAACTCGAAAAATAATCAATTAATTCAATTTTAAAGGAATTTTAAGAATTAACGAATTTTAAAGGAGTCGCACCTAATTTTAGGAAAAACTAGGAAACCAATTAATTAGTTAACTAAAAGAATGTCTACGAAATCAATAGATTCTAGGTAAGGGGTTCAAGTTATTTCGAAGGTAATGTGTTAGGCATTCTTCGAAATCTACAATTGTGGGTCCCGACTGAGTTTATTTTTTCAAATTGGGGAAGAGATAAAAATAATATACAAGTATAATAAACATGCAATATTCACAAGTAATAAAATAAAAATAATAATATAAGAAACGGCCTAAGGTTTGTCTAACATCGATATATACAAAATAATGAATAAAGAGTATAATTTGAACTTCATTCGAATAACTTCAATGGAAAGCAACTTTGTGTACCTGTAAAGACACTTAGTAAAAGTATTAGTAATAAATCAATATGAATAAAAATAAATGAATTACATAATAGCTTAAAAATAATAATTCGTTTTATTAACATGGGAGGCCTTGGAATTCAACGGTAATTTCTTTATCGGCCAATTTAAACAAATAAAATATATAAACTTAAACTAAATTTCCGTCTTTAATAATGGTGAGGCCTCCAAAACCAACGGAGAAATTTTTTTCATTGGCCAATTTTAATATGTGCAACAATGAAAACAACTATTAAAAGATAAAATGGTAAAATAACAATTTGAGAATTCATGACCAGAGAAACAATAATATTCAACATGATGACAATTAACAACAACAACAACAAGTAAAAAAAAAAAAACTAGCAGAAAGAGGTGTATAAGTAATAAAAACTTAACAATAATTAAAACCAACATGAAATTTATTGAAATAAATGTTCAAATCACTATCAACACTAGAACCCAACAAAAGATATATGAAATTAATAATAATACAACCGAAAACTAAACAGAAACCAACGCTTGTTATCCATTATTGGAACATTGAAAATTGAACACATTTTATTCTATCAAATCAACTAAACTCTTACGATAACAATAATCAAAACTAATTAAGAAGAAAAAACAGTAAAACAATCAACCAAAATATTAGCAAAAAAAGGAAACAATACACAAATAGTTCCAATAATAAGAAAATAGTATAATAGTAACATTTCAAAATTAAAAGGTAAAAATTGGAGACAAAACAGTGATGTCTTACCGGAGCTTGGTGTTCACCGATGGTGATTTCGCTTTCGATCTGGAGCTAGTTCGAACTGGAGCTCGGAGCTCATCTAGTCATCGGGTTTCGCCCAAAAAATGCAGATCTGATTGTATTTAGACACATGCAAAATAAGAAAAAATCGTAAAGGAAAAAGGGGATGGGGATTGGTTCGTTTTGGGTCTTGTTTGGAGTTGTTTTTACCGGAGCTTCGTATTTCGTGGTGGTGTCTTTGGTTGCTATCATTTCTAGGTTCTTTCTGGTGGTTGTTTTGGTCGGAGAAGAGGTGGAGGAAGAAGGGTAAAGGGGTTTTGATAGTGAAACTTAAGGATGATCTAGTGGTGTGAGCTTCGAGCTCGTTTTTCGATTGTTTCAGGGTCATTTTCTGTCGGGATTTGGCTGGAGTTGTTGGCTGTGTTTGGAGTTGGGAGCTGCTGGTTGTTTGAGGTTGAAGTTAGCTCACTGGTTCGCTGTTGTTGTTGTTGGTTTGATGGAGAACATGGAACTGTGGTTGTTTCCGGTAGCTTTTGGTCGGGGTTTTGGTGGTTTTAGGTGATTTCTCCGGTGGATTTCTTTGGAGCTGCTGGTTGCTATTATTGTTGCTGCTGGCAGCAAATAAAGAGAGAGGGGAAGGATGCTTGGGTTTTTGGGTCAGGGTTTTGCCGAAGCTTCACCGGATTCCGGGGTGGTGATAGCCGGAAATTTAATGAATAGTGAAACCCTTTATGAATAAAATCTGAAAATTTCCAAACCTAATATAAAAATATTTCACCACCCCTAACTTAATCACTAAGAAATAACTTAGATAGAAAATTGAAAACCACCTATAGTACAATACCACTTTCTTAAAATTATGGGCCAAAACCACTAGATAATAAAATATCTGTGTATGAAATCTTATTCATATTCGAATTAATTTCTACACTGTATAAAATATCAAAATGAATATGAACAAATGTAACAAAAAAATGAATATTAAAAAATATAATTAACGTAACTAATGACATGTAAAAAATGCAATTTAACAGAACTAATATATAATCAAAATGAATAAATATTTGAACGTAGTCAATCAGTTGTGACAAAAAATAATGTAATTAAAATTAACTGATAAAAATTCTAAAATTTCCACAAATAAGGATAAATATTGATAAACTTTTTTAAAAATTATAAAAAATGTATTGTGAACTATTGAATAAATAAAACTTAAAAGTTACGAATTTTGAAAATGTTAGACCAAAATTGGGTGTCAGTAGTGGCCATCAGGTATGATGCTTCAAGCTGATCTATAATGTAAATCAAAAGTAATATGTAGTCTAGCCAAGCTATTGGGACACCCGGAATGGTACCTTGAACTGATAAGAGTATATGTAGCTAAAAGGTGCAATAAATCAAGTAAAAGGGCCTTTTTACCACTTTTATGCAATAGTATTCTCAAGGAATTTCAACTCATTAAGAATAACCCCTTTTGGTAGATTTGCACTCATTTAAGATCCATTTAGCTCAATAATTGATGTCCTCAATGCCTAAATTTGTCCTTCTTTAATCAAATGTTGATGATTTGCAGCTATGAAGGCAATTGGACAAGGCAAGGACTAAAGTTTGAAAAAATGGCCAAAAGATACAAATAGAAGTGCAAAGTGAACATTGTTGATCTCCTAACATGAATGGCTAATCGCCCATTGAGCATGACTTCACCTAAGTTGACAATGTATTAATTCACCCCTCAAGATTTTAGTGATATAAGAAGGGGTATTTGTTAGGATTTTAATGATCGTGAAAACATAAACAATCTAAACATTCATAAATCATATCAATTATTCAGGATCGTAGAACTATATGATTTCCATATAAATTATTACTATAATAATTCAGTCAAGAATACATACCCGAATCAGCCATAGTGTTTTTCGAGAATCTTCACTTGAATTGAGCGAATGCTTTTTCTTTGTTGTTCTTCAGAAGTTGTTTCTCTCTCTTGTCTTACACCTTATGAATAACTTTGATGGATAAAACTATAACTTTATGGCAGAGAGAGAACCTTTTAAATAAGAAATTTTTTTAAACATTATTCCCACTTTCCATCATGGTGAGTAGTGGAGATAATGGGTAGTTTTAAAACTACCAAGTAACTCCCCACTGAAGGGTAGTTGGAAGACTTAATGGGTAGTTGGAAGTCACTAAGTAACTTTCCCACTTTTCCACTTCTCCACACATATTTAGGATTTAACTTATATTAATTATTAAACCAAAATATAATTACGTGGGCCATATACATTCTCCCACTTGGCGCACAACATTTAACATAATGCTTTAATATGCATGTTATCATGTGCACAATGTTAAATCCAACATCATTCATCGTCATTAAGTAAATCAACTAATATGAGTCATGACAGTTGTACACCACTTTATTTGACATAGTCCCTTCCATGCACTACAATATTAGTCTATTACCTAACACAACCTTTCAAATACATAATGGGTCCACAATAATGCTTAGAATACTTTATCTAAGTCAGAATCTGTCATCATCATTCTCAACATTACGTATACAAGAGAAGATAGGTAACAACAAAAACATATATATAGTTGAGCTCAAAGTGTCAATTGCACAAACATAATAAAATCTTTACAGAAAATCATTCATTGTTATCAATAAGACCCATTCTTTCAAAATGTTCAACAAATGTTTTGGGCGGTAATCCTTTCGTCAAAGGATCAGCAATCATAAGCTTGGTGCTAATATGTTCAATTGTCACTTTATGTTTCTGGACTTCTTCTCTAATTGAAAAGTATTTCAATTCCATATGATTGGCACCCTTCGAATACTTATCGTTTTTAGAGAAGAAGACTGCTGCAGTATTATCACAATAAATTTTCAGCGGCTTGGAAATACTATCAACTAGTCCAAGTCCTGAAATAAAGTTCCGCAGCCAATTAGCCTGAAATGTGGCCTCAAAGCATGCCACAAACTCAGCTTCCATAGTGGATGCAGCTATAATAGACTGCTTCGCACTCTTCCATGATATTGCTCAAGAGGAACAAATATCCAAATGTGGATTTTCTTGTATCCACACAACCAGCATAATCTGAATCTGAATATCCAATCACATCAAGATGATCAGATATTCTATAAGTGAGCATATGATTTTTAGTTCCTTGCAAGTATCGCAATACTTTCTTCACAACTTTCCAGTGATCAATTCCTGGATTAATTTGATAACGGCCCAGCATTCCAACATCGAAATTGATGTCTGGTCTTGTACATCTTTGGGCATACACTAGACTCCCAACTATTGATGAATAAGGAATATCATTCATTTGCTTACGTTCCAATTCATTCTTTGGACATTGATTGTGACTAAATTTATATCCTTTCTAAATTGGAACGGGACTTGATGAGAATTTTTCCATTCTAAATCTCTCTAACACTTTATTAATATAGGCTTTCTGAGACAAACCCAATAATCCTTGTGATCTATTTCAAAATATTTCTATCCCAATCACATTGGATGCCTCTCCTATATCTTTTATTTAAAAATTGTTAGAGAGATATCACTTGGTATCGTGCAACAAACCAAGATCATTAGTAGCAAGCAAGATGTCATCAACGTACAGGACTAACATAATAAACTTACTCCCACTAACCTTCAGATATATACACCGATCAACAGTGTTTTCCTTAAATCCAAATGTTACAATAGTTTCATTAAACTTAAGATACCATTGTCGGAAAGCTTGTTTAAGTTCGTATATTGACTTCTTAAGTTTACACACCAATAGAAAACCCCTCAGGTTGATTCATATAAACTTCTTCCTCCAAATTTTCATTTAGAAAGGCTGTTTTCACATCCATTTGATGTAGCTCTAAGTCATAATGAGCTACTAAAGCCATTATAATTCTGAGTGAATCTTTTCTAGAGACGGGTGAAAATGTTTCTTTATAGTCGATGCCATATTTTTTACTGAAACCTTTCATAACAAGTCTGGCATTGTGACGTTCGATGTTGCCAGTTGAGTCACGTTTGGTCTTAAAGATCCATTTACACCTAACTCTTTTGCAACATTCTGGTAATTCAACAAGGTCCCATACTTCATTTTGTTCCATAGATTTCAACTCATCTTTCATAGCATTTATCCATCTATTTGAATTATTACTTTCAATAGCTTGTGAAAATGAAACTGGATCATTATCAATTCCCAAGTCAATTTCAGACTCGTGTAAATATACCAAATAGTCATCAGAAATAGCAGCTCTCTTTTGTCTTTGAGATTTTCTTAATGCTACTTCTTATGGTACATCTACTGCAGGTTCATTAATTATCGCTTCATTGAGATTAACAGGAGCATCGATTTGTTGCTCTTGTTCATTGTTAGGTTGTACAACATCTTTAAAAAAAAGTAAAAGGTAGAGGAACTCTTACCCTAACTTCTTTAATTTCCACTTTACGTGGTTCTTCACTCCCACTAACTTCATCATTCTCAATGAACCTAGCATTTCCAGTTTCAACTATTTTTGTACTGTGATTAGGACAGTAAAATCTATACCCTTTTGATTTTTCTGGATAACCAATGAAGAAACCACTGATTGTTCTTGTATCCAGTTTCTTTTATTATGAGTTATAAACTCTCACTTCTGTCGGGCAACCCCAAACATGCAGGTTCCTTAAACTAGGTTTCCTACCAGTCCACAGTTCAAAATGAGTCTTTGAAACTGCTTTACTAGGAACCCTATTAAGTAAGTAAACAACAGTCCTTAAAGCATACATCCACAATGAAAGAGGTAAAGATGAATTACTTAACATACTCCTAACCATGTCCATTAATGTACGATTACGCGTTTCTGCTACACCATTTTGTTGTGGTGTTCCAGGCATTGTATATTGAGCACATATACCATGCTTTTCAAGGAATTTAGCAAATGGATCTAGGTGTTGTCCATCTTCATCATATCTTCCATAATATTTACCACCTCTATCTGACCTGATTATTTTTATCTTTCTATCTAGTTGTCTTTCAACCTCAGTAGTAAAGACCTCTAAGGCATTTATTGCTTGATATTTTTCATGCAACAAATAGACATAGCCATAACGTGAAAAATCATCAATAAAAGTGATAAAATAATTTTCTTTACTAAAAGAATCAATATCAAAAGGACCACATATATCAGTGTGTATAATTTGAAGAAGTTGTATGCGTCTTGTAGCTCCTTTCTTTGTGTGTCTTGTTTGTTTTCCTTTAATACAATCCACACAAATGTTAAGGTCTGTAAAATCCAAATTTGAAAGAATTTCATTCTTCATTAATCTTTCCAATCTTTCTTTAGATATGTGACCTAAATGTTTGTGCCACAAGAAAACAAATTGTTCATTCATCAAACTTCGTTTGGTTCCAATATTATGATGCAGAGTTAAGAGTGTTTCGGCAAATAGATTATCAAGATTTAGTTTGTATAAGTTATCACAAAGAGTACCAGTACCAATGAGATAATTATGTTTAAACATGCTAAAACATCCATTACCGAAATTAAAAGAGTATCCAGTCTTATCTAACTTAGACAAAGAAATTAAATTTCTTGAAATAGAAGGTACATAACAAGTTTCAAGTAAATCTAAGTGACGCCCAATATTAAGGATCAAACTGTAAGTCCCTATAGCTTTAACTTGAGCCTTCACTTTATTCCCCATATGCACATATCTTTCATTCTGATTTATGGTTTGTGTTGTAAGGAATCTCTGCATCTTATTAGAAACATAAATAGTACAGCCAGAGTCATTCCACCAAGTATTATAAGGAACTTCAGTTAGATTTGATTCGAGACATGTAAAAGCACTAGGCTTACCTTTCTTCTCGATCCATGCCAGGCAATTTTTGTGATAGTGTCCAGATTTTCCACAGAAATGATACTTATCATTCTTGCGTTCATTCTTACGTACTTGAGAGGAGGACTCATTAATATTATGGTGCCTCTGTTTTCCCTTAGCATGTTTTTTTCCTTTATTTCTAGCTCTTTGATGACTTACAAAGTTGATGGAGTGGGTTCCTTGATTCTTGAGCCTTACTTCCTCTTGAACCAACATCTGTGCAATTCATGCACGCTCCATTTGTCTTTCATGGTGTTGTAGTTCATTTGGAAAGGGTCGTACTCAGAAGGAAATGAGTTGATGATGAACTGTACAAGAAAATTTTGTTCCACTTCCATTCCCAAAGACCTAAGTCTTGCTGCTACGTTTGTTATTTCAATGACATGCTCATACATGGTACGTGAACCATCAAACTTCATGGTGGTCAAAGTACCCATTAGTGTCCCAACAAGAGACTTATCAGCAGTTTGAGAGGATTCTTCCACAAGTTTCAGAAAATCTTTTGCATTTTCAGTTTTGGGAAGAGTAGTCTTAATGTTTCCCGCAATATCCATTCGCATAAATGCCTAATCTGTTATATTGATCCCAGTGCTTATAATAGGACCTTTTTTCAGTACTGCTAGTTTCAGTAATATCAGTTGGCTTCTCATTGTAAAGTGCAACATCAAGATCTAAAACTCCAAGATGGAATTTGATTTGTTCGCACCAATCTGAGAAGTTAAAACTGTTAAAGGTCGTAACAGAGGCAGAGTGCGAATGAAGAGAAAATGCTACAAATATAATATGCTCATTTGTTAATAGTTTGAGTTATGAATTTTAAACATACTATCAAATTTAGAAATGGTTTATAAATTCTTAAATTTATATTGATGTCCTCCTTTGGGAGAAACATCAAAATACAACTTTAGACATAATGATGCTTAAATGTGAATTTAATGTAATTCAATAATGTTTAATGTGTCAATCAATAATATTTATTATCTTTGGATAAATAAATAAAACTAGCGACACATCTAAATTATCTCCTTAATGTTAAATGATTATAAAATTAAATGATCAACCTTTGGGTGATCCATAAATATCTTATAACCAAAAACTTCAATATATCCATCAGTGTTATATCGATTATAGCATCAAAATAATGGATAATTGAATATACATTTAATCATTATCATTTTGAATTAATTCTTCAAAGATTAGACCACTTTGGTGATGAACTAATCTCATATACATAATTCCAAAATAAAATACATCATAATAGTGATAATTATTTCCCTAATACTAAACACCTTTATATGGAAAAATTAGTACAATAATAAGGAATAATAAATTATGCATATGTGAGTCATTATATATACAGTGATGTTATAAAGCAAAACAAATTATGGATCAACATGTCACTATTTAATTCACATGAGTTCTTTTGAAGGTCATTACTAAAATTTGTTTTCTTAATTTAAAAGAAAAGAACAAGTGTTCTAATATAAATTCAAGTTTTCAGTGAGTAAAACTCAACTACTCAAAACATAATAATCTAAATTCGGATCAACCATACAATTAAGTCAATACTCATTATTGTTTTCAAATAAAGAAAACATTAATTATATGAAAAATCTCTAGTTCTTAAACCAGACTCTAATACCACATGATAGGATTTAATGATTGTGAAAACATAAATAATCTAAACATTCATAAATCTTATCAATTATTCAGGATCGTAGAACTATATGATTTCCACATTAATCTATTACTTTAATAATTCAGTCCAGAATACATACCCGAATCAACCATAATGTTTTTCGAGTATCTTGACTTGAATTGAGCGAAAGTCTTTTTCTTTGTTGTTCTTCAGAAGTTGTTTCTCTCTCTTGTCTTACACTTTATGAATAGTTTTGATGGATAATACTATAACTTTATGGCAGAGAGAGGACCCTTTAAATAAGAGAGTTTTTTTAAATATTATTCCCACTTTCCATCATGGTGAGTAGTGGAGATGATGGGTAGTTTTAAAACTACCAAGTAATTCCCCACTAATGGGTAGTTGGAAGTTACTAAGTAACTTCCCCACTTCTTCACACATATTTAGGATTTAACTTATATTAATTATTAAACCAAAATATAATTACGTGAGCCATAGAAATTTACAAGATTCGCCCAAAACCCAAGGCGAAGCGAATAGATATCGTTGAATCTGACAGTGTTGACAAATAAGATTAAAGCTAAAAGGACTATACAAGGTGAAGTTCAACAATTTTCAAAATTCACAAAAGAGAACACTAACAGGACACCCTAGTGAAACTTAAACCCCTGAAGTTTGGAGCATGGAAAAGGTGAACCAAAGGAAGAAGAGTGATTTGTCGAATGTGGTGGGCAAATTGAGCTAATGTCATCAAAAATGAAATGGAACTACATATTGGAAAAAAATTTGGGAAACTATAAATAGCCAAGAGGAGAGAG